TTTTTGCAGATAAATATTCTAATATAGTAGGATAAATACCCTTTTCTTCAGGAATATTATTATGTTTTATAGACCATGCAAGAATATTATTACTATTGAATTTGAAATTAATTTCATGAAGCTTTTTACCGCTGTCTCTCAGAGACTTAACATATTTTTAAGATAAAATGATTATATTGGGTAAGAGGTTGTAAGTCATAATAAGACTCAGATATAATGATGCAAAATCTAAGCCAGTTACCGGATATTTATTTTCAAGACCCTTTACTGGTGGGAAAATATAGGCTTCAGGGTATTTTCTAGTTTTGGTTTGTTGTCTTGAAATCATATTGGTTAGGATCCCTCTTTGCCATGCACTAGCACTTAAAAGATTGCAAACCTTCATACCTCCCGCAAAATAATGTGCATCAAATAATGATAAGAAGGCTACAAATGCCACCCCTCTATACTTATTAATTGCATTATACTTTACTATTAACCGCTGGCAACTAAGAGCGTCGATAATATAATATTTGGCTACTTCGCGTATTTGTTTGGCTGATATGGAATCTAGCTCTTTAATGCCCTTTCATAATATTTGTATATGCAGTGAATAGGCATATCCATTTTACTTTTGAGCTCACATTCATTTAGGTAAAATGCTAAACTACTCTTTTCAGCCTTAAAATAAATTCTCATAAAATAGAATCAAACGTCAATAGCTACGCATCCTGGAATTTTAAGATTTTTCGAATAGAATTTTCCATCATTTATTTTTATTATATTATATTGATATTCCCATTTTATAATTTTTTCCAGACTCAATGGCTTGAATGAAATATGATTAAACATCCATTCAAGAACTCCTAATTTATTAGCTTTCTCTACAATAAACCACCAATTGTATTGAGAATTATTAAAGCCTACATATATGTCTGGGTCTAGAAGTTTTCAATATAAAGCGAATGCTTTTAGTAAATCTGTATGGGATCCACATAAAATTGTGATCCAACCTGGCTCTGACGCTGTTTCAACATCGACAAGACAGATTTGTTTTAACGGTTCAGAATCATCTTTCCAATGCACTATCATACAAATCATAAACACTTTGTCTTCATCGTATTTTACGTTAAGCATCTCACCTGTTTTTGAACTATACATCTCAATATCCCATATGAGTATGAGGATTCAATTTCTCGTAAGTGTTAAGGAGAATAATAGATTATTATAATTCTCCTCACTTATTGGATTATAATTATTCACAGATAGTCAAAATAAGTAAGTATCATCTGAGGTGAATTCGTATAAATAATTGCTTAATACAGCTCAGCTTGAAAGAAGTAATCGTTTTTCACAAGTTACTTCACAGTAATAATACTGGCAGTTTAGATTATCAGAAATAGTATAAATTCTAACTTTATGAACTACTTTTAAGGCATTATAACGATCAAAGTGATTCCACGTCCTCACACAGATATATGCTTTCTTTTCTATATGATAGCACTGAAGTGAAAAGCATGAATATCCTCGAACGCAAATTTTGTTGTATTGTTGAGTGTAACTGATAAAATGTGTGCTAATATGGTCTTAACTGAAAAGGGGAATAGTTTTTAGCACTTCAACATCAAAGAATAATTGGATGCCTGTAATATTTACGACTACTTTTTGCTCATCAATCAAAGAACTGGTGATACACAAGATATAGGAGGAATACCTTTTGATATCATCACTAACTTCAGTAGGCATAAAATGTATGGGTTGCTTGCCAGATAGGCTTTGTTGAAGTATATTGGTCATCCCATTATCGAATTTTGCCACAATATTATTACGTGATAGAATACTAACTAAAGGCTCAGCATCATCATAGCGGGCGAGCGTTAGGCTAGATCCAATACAATCAGTTTGGTCAAAAATAGTTGGTGTATGCATGATGTCAGTTTGGAAAATTATACTATCTCAATATAATTCGGAAATGTTTAATTTATTTTTTTGATGAATGCAAAAGTGATGTATAACGATCTTAGTCAACAAATTGTGAAAGAAGACCATCTGTTATATAACTAAAATATGAAGGTTTCTGCAGAATTATATTATATAAAAATAGCAGAAGCCTTCATCTGAACTTAGTAAGCAAATTGTAAATAAACATATTCTTAATATGTTATACTTAGGGTAGTCTTCTACATAATCTATTATATAAATATTGTCACTTACCATCCTATTACTAGTATATAGTAGATGTGACATGAAGGCTTCTTTGACGCAAATTCTATACCTCGATATATGCAAAACAGGCATATAGCAAGATAAAAAATTTGGGAAAGAAAGTATTCTTGATAGGTATCATCAAGGGTTGGTAACTTCAGTATCTATATATAAAATAATGGAACTTACTTACCCTAACACTAGTATGAAATCGGGTATATGTATCTAAGAGTGAAGTCTTCTTCAAAAGTATTATATAAAAAATTGGAAGAAGACTTCACTTTCTAGATATGTGTTAAACTACAATATAGTCTTCATGTAAGACTTATTCACTTAATGTTAGTCAACACTATTTCATAATTTCAGCCAGAACTTTGAGCGTAATAAATCTGCATCCAAGCTGGCATATAAGTGGACTGAAACTGGTGAATAGATGGAATCTCTCAGGCATTCAGCCAGTTCCTTACCAGTTCTACAACAGTTCTATAATGGTTTCATGACACCATTATGATGCTATCGTGTTGCCAAATTGGATTCTCAAATCACATGTTCAAAAGATCAGCCAGAATTATGTCATAATGTTAGCCAAATTAATCACAAATTTATTGCGTTACTGTCGCCTCTTTTTTTACATAATTTTAGTATTTTAAAAGGTAACTAAATAGGCACAAAGGTAAGTACCTTAATATGAAATCTATCATCAATTCAAATGCAGGAGACCAGTATCCTCAATAAAGAACCAAGCATCTAAACAAATATGGAAAGCTAATACCAACAATGTAGAATTAACATATAGACGAATATGAACAAGAAGAAAATAGTAATACTTAGATTATATGGTGGTAGTTAAAATAAATGGTGGGTAGTAGTTAGAATATATAGAAATAAATGATATGAATATCAAGAAGGTTTTAAAGGAATAGCTAGAATATAAAATAGATATCTGATACAAGAAAATAAATAAATTATATGGTGATAATTAGATTATATTATTCAGATTATATAGTGGTACTATAATCTAGGGTAAGTGAATAAGTGGAATACCACTATGTGATATAATTATATTACATAGTGATATTTCACTGTATTTTAAGAACTTTGAATTTTTTACTACTAAAATATTTGTTTCATTCTTTTTAATATAATTAATTATATAAGATAATAAAAAACTTCAATTACTATTGATTGATTTAATACTATTGATGACTAATGCCAGTGATAAATAACAAATTTATATATATAAATACATTATATTTATTATTAAAATTGCTTTTAATTTTTTTATAAATTTTATTTTAACAATTACAAACTATATTTTTAATAAATATTCTATATATAGTGTTACTAAATAAATATTTATATAATACAAATAAAATAAATAATTCTTTAACTATTTATAAAATAAATTAA